AAAAAAAAAAAAAAAAAACAAAACAACATTTCCCTGTAGAATGAACTTCTCTGCGTGTCACACACTTGCTCACAGACACCAGTGCCTCTAACCCTCGTGGCAGCACTTTGAGGCTCTGTCCCCTGCAGGAGACTGGGCTACGGAAGGAAAAGGAGCAAAAGGTGTTCACGGTGCCACGGCCACCCTGTGAGCGGAGGGACAGACACCCAGTCTCCTTGCCCCGGTGCTGCCCTCCTCCACAGCAGTGCCGACTAGCAGCAGCTGTCTGTCCTCGGTTTCCGTAGATGATGGCCACATCAATAGTCATGACACGGAAAGGAGAGGAGTCCATGTGGGATAGTGCTTTCTGTGGTCAGTAGTAACACAGTCTTTAATTAATAGTCTTTAATCTGAATTTTCTAAATTTTCAGAAATGAGCATGCATTAATTCTGTAATAAACTTTAAAGTAATTAAAAACGTTTTTATTTACTGACTTTCAGATCCTGTTATAAAAATAAGTCAAATTCACAACAAACAAAAGCCTTCCAGGAAAATGACCTGTGTTTTGGCATCTCTGGAACTTTGCACACACAGGTGTCCCCAAGGGAGGGGGCCGATGCTGAGCACACTGCCGCAGCCTGGGTAGCTGGGCAGAGGAGCCCACGAAGGCTTTCTGGCTCAGTGCTGGTATCCTGTGCTCACCTTGGATTCAGAGAAATGTTTTTTCCTCCTGCTCCATTCTGGTCACAAAAACACTTCTATTTCCGCATTTGAGGGAAACTTCCCAGCTTCAGGAGGCAGCACGATACCCTGAACTGAAGGGAGCCTGGCTCTGGAGCAGCCCCCAGACAGCAATCCACACCGCACACTAGGCTGAAGGTGTTTATCTGATTCTTGAAAAAACCTAATATAAATTTATTTGTCATCTACCCAGTTTGCTCTTTCAAACATGTATTGCACACTTCAGTAACACAAGGCTGGTGATATAAAGATGAGTAGGAAAGAGGTATTCAGTGTGTAATGACTTCTTAACAATTTGAGATGAGAGAAAGACAAGCAAGGGTACCTAACCTGGGCTTCTCTGACACGCGGAGCCCCCCAGGCTTGGACACCCAGGCTGAGCACCCCTGGCCCCGAGGAGCCTGCATGCAGTTCCGGGGCAGGTATACTATCCGGGAATGCTCAATCATTCGTGCCAGATGATGTGGAAGCCTTCGGCTTCCTTCCTGACAAACTTTAGTATTTATGACCTAATGATGCAGAGTAAATCAAAATGATCATCCAAGGTGAGAAAATAAAAGCTTTTTTATGAAACTAATTAAACAACCCATTTACTTGTGGAAGTGGCTGACTGGCCTACAGCTTCGCATTCGATCTTCTGACGTCAGTGAGGAGACCAGTTCCATCAATGTGGTCACATGTGCTGTCCAACAAAGGACAAGAGTTTCATGTCTCAATTCAAAATGCCCCCAAGTACAACTCTGAAAAATTTCTAGTCATGTAATCAGCTTGAGGGTAAAAATCATGTGTTAACGCAAAGGTACAAGAACAAAGAATTTGTTCTTCACGGCTCTCTGCTTTGGGTCCAGAGGCGAGGCCCGTTTCCATGGAGCATTAAATGTCAAGTGCCACACGCTATCAGCATCAATGGCCAGGCGCCTCTTTTTTTTAATTAATTTTTTTAACTCTTGAGTTTATGTACAGCGGGCAGCAGTACATATTCAGAAATGGTCTATTTTTCATTTCTTTGATTGCTACCACGAGACAGTATAAGTAGTTCTGACTTACAAAACCGGCAAAGAAAACCGCCAGGCCAGAGAGGGTGTGAGGACGGTGGGAGCGTGAACTGTCATAGCCCGTAACTGGATGTGATATCAGGTTATGATTGGGCCTCTGACCCTCTCCACTTCTTGGAGCTTAACCTAGAGGGTGAGTGAAGACACACTCGTAGACGACCCTGCCTGTGTCAGAGAAAAGTGGGCACAGCTTTCCAGCCCCCAGCAAAGGGGTCTGACAGAGTAAACCCAGACACATCCTACAAGAGAAGAGCAGGCAGCTGTCGAGCACAAACGACCCACAGAATCCTACTCCAAGGCATGGAGGAGCTCGAGATGCATTAAGTGGGAAAAATAGCCAGTTACAAAATAGAGTGATCCAGGTTTGCTTATAACAAACACACACACACTCCACAAAGGTTAACAGCAGTAGTTATCACTGTGTGGTGGAAATATGCCTGATATTTATTTTTCCTTTTTTGGCTTATCTGTATTTGTGCTTTGGGATTATCTGAAATAAATCTTTCTTACTTCCATTATAAAGAAACACATTTACTTTCCTGGAAGCCTCAGCATCACGGGACGTCACACGCATGAAGTGCCACAAAAGGAAGGTGGTCCCTGCTCTTTAAAGTAGGGGCACTCAGAAGGCAGACCATGAGTGCTCTCCACCCATCTCAGGCTGCGGGGCCACCACTTGCACCCATGAAAGCATTGTTTCTAAGACTGTCAGACTCAGAACAATCTCCACATTACCTGAATTCGGTTCAACTCCACAACAGGCCCGTGTTGGCGATCTCGCACCATAGTTGCTTGTACCACTTTTCGGAAAGCTGCCTCCTAAAACAAGTCAAACAGACAAAAGTTAGAATCCGATACAGAAATCATGTAACAGTTATGTTTAAAATCTTCTGCTTTGAAAATCAGACTTTAAGAATAGAAAATGACCATCCCTTTCTCAAATTGTGAGGCCCCAGGGAAGTGGCCTGGCACTCACATGCATGGGGGTGGACAGAAGAGCAAGTAGTGCCAGCAGCTGGGCACACAGGCAGGGTGCCCCTCAGGAAAGAAGGCTGGAAGAGCCCAGCACAAGCTGGGCACGGAGCAGGGAGGGTCGGGCCCCAGCAAACACCTGCTCTGACTCAGGCCTAGAAAGCCACGGGTTTCCCTGCCAAACCACAAGTCCTCCAGTGGCAGGGACTGATATTAAACCACTAACTGTGCCAGGGCTGGGATGGAGATTAGGAAGGCAGACCAGGGAGGGAAACCCGAACACACAAAGCTCAGGTTGTGAGCATGCACTGAAAGAAATCTGGAGTGCCAGGGCAAAGATGGCTAGGACAGGGAGTGGGGTGCAGCCTGAGCATGGGCACCACAGTGAGGACTCAGGCAGCACCCAGGAGGGAGGGAGGCTGGCACACCCATGGGGGTGAGGCGTGGGGCATGGGACACAGCTGTGCCAATGGAAAGGGGGCTGGGAACTTGAGGGACACTCAGAAGAGGCAGGATCAACAGGGGTCCCAGCTCTTTCCACCTAGCAGGTGATCACACAGCCCCACCTCCACCCTGTTCTCCTGCACTCAGCCCAGACCTAAAGGCAGCTCCTCCTCCATAGAGCACTCCCCTTTTCTGAATTACCCACAGGCCCACCCAGCCCTCCTGTAGCATCCTCTCTGGTGTTCTGAATAGGAGGTGACACCCACTTCCCAAACCTCTCCAGCAGAGGCAGATACTTGCCCACACCAGGACCAGAACAGAGGCTGCCTGCACAGTCCCTGCTGCTAAGGTGCCTTTCAGAAGCCCTCAGCGCTCCCCTGCTCCCCTACAGCCTCAGGATAGGAGCCAGATGCTGCTGCCCACCCCCCACCCACACACCCCATATACTGGCTCACAGCCACCCACCGTGCCCCGAGTCCATGCACCCCCAGCTCACAGCCCGCACTGAGTGCCACGAGGGACATGCCCTGCCTCTCACTTTTTTTTCTCCCTACAAAGAAAGGCTTTTTTCTCCCTGTCTATTACCACCTCCATTTTGAAGGATTAAAGTAATTAAGTTTACTACTTTTTCTTATTGAAAATAGTTGAAATTAAGTTTCATATCAATTTTACCTGCCCCCAATATCAGAGAGATGATCTTTCCGTTAAACACAATCACTCAGCACCCTCAGGCACACACAGAAGTAAAATGCATGGACAGCTCAGCGGTGTCCTCACGCTACTTCCCCACAGGTTTCAGGTGAGAAAATAGCAGGTATAGGCCTGGGCAGGCAATGTATAGACTTTTGTATTCAAATGAAGTGTTCTGGATACACATTCTGATTGCACTGGATTATATATGTTCTGACTGGATAAGAGAATCCCCATAGACCAACTCTGAATGGTCAATCTGCACCAAATTTCTGCCCAGTCCTGCGCCAGCCATTTTCGTCGTTGGAGCTTATCCTAAGGATTTCTCCGTCTGCTCCCATGGCTGTGTCTTGCACACTGCAGATCTGCGTGGCTGGATTCATAGTGACCAGCGCTGCCTCAACCCACTGGGCATGGAACTCTGCGTCCTGCAGCGAACAGAAGGCATGGAAGGAGTCAGCTGGCATAAGGGAGGGACCTAGAGCTAAGTGGTGGGGTGCAGTGAGTGGCACCAGGGGCTCCTTACGGGACTCAGCTCCAGTGAATGAACAAGAAGCTGCTGGCTATGCTGGCCACCCACACCACTTGCTTCCACTGCCAGCCACTGGTGACCCCACTCCCTCCATCTTCTGGCTGAAGAATTGCAAGAAGTTCCGTGAAGAGCATCGGAGCATCACATCAGGACATCAAGGATTCATGCTGTTCTCAAGCGTGTACATGGTGATTCACTTGTTCAGCATCAGAAGCAACTCGAGCACGTTCACAGCACCAGCTTCTCCCCAAGAACCTCCCCAGAGAAAAGGGCCACCTAGGCTATCCAGCCACTGATCATCCCCAGGCAACCAATGAGGAGGAGTACTTGAATTTTTTTTTTTTTAAGAGACGGGGGTCTCGCCATGTTGCCCAGGCTGAAGTGCAGTGGCCTGAATTCACAGGTGTGATCACAGCGCACTACAGCCTCCAACTCTTGTGCTGAAGTGATCCTCCCACCTCAGCTTCCCAAGTAGCTGGGACCACAGCATAAGCTGTAACCATGACTGAAGTAGGCTCTGCACCTGAAGTGAAGGAGGACTCTGACCAGTTAGGAGCAGATGTAACCAAGGAGCAACCTAAAGAAATAGCAGCAAACCAGCAGAATCAGTCGTCTGATGCAGAGGAGGGGAAAGGTTCCCAGCCTTCTCCTGCAGCTGAAAGCCAAGTAGTGTACGCTGCCAGCAGAGACAGAAGGCGCCATCTGTGGGAAGGGGTATTGCTTGATTTATACCCCCATGGCTTAAGAAACTGAAGTCACATATCTTATTAGTGGCCAAAGATGGAGAAGATAAAAAAGAACCTACCCATGCTGTTGTGGAGGAACAGGTCTTGGATAAAAAGGAACCTTTTCTGGAAGAAGAGAGACAGGCCAAGAGTGATGCTGAAGAAGCGGCTCAGAGGAAGCAACTGGAGATTAAGGTTGAAGTCAAGGAAGAAAAACCTTCTGTGAGCAGAGCTGAGACACAGACTGCTGAATTAGTAAGTAAGGAGAGAGAACGCAAAGGAAATACAGGAGGACAAATCAGAAGGAGCCGCAGCAAAAAGAGCCAAGGAAGTGCAGACCAATGAGCTAAAAGCAGAGAAGGTCTCTCAAAAAGCCACTAGGAAGACCAAAACTGTCTACTGTAAAATGATCTTGGATGGCACCGAATACAGCTGTGACCTGGAGAAACATGCTAAGGGACAAGTGTTATTTGACAAAGTGTGTGAACACCTCGATCTCTTAGAGAAGGACTATTTTGGACTTATGTTTCAGGAAAACACTGAGAAGAAAAACTGGCTAGATCCCGCAAAAAAAATAGACAACAGCGAACTCTTCCCTGGCTGTTCACTTTTAATGTGAAGTTTTATCTTCGTTACCATTATCAATTGACTGAAGATATCACCAGATACTTGTTTTGCCTTCAGCTCTGGCAGGACATCACCTCTGGCCACCTGCCCTGCTCCACTGTGTTTCATGCCCTCCTGGGATCCTACACTGCAGGCTGAACTTGGAGACTATGACCCAGAAGTTCTTCGCAGTGTTGACCTCAGTGACTACTAGTTTGCCCCCACACAGACTAAGGAGCTGGAAGAGGTGGTGGCAGAGCTGTACAAAACCCACAGGGGCTTGTCTCCAGTGCAAGCTGATTATTAGTTCATAGGCGATGCAAGGAGACTTCCCATGTATGGTGTTGACCTACATAATGCCAAGGACTCAGGAGGCGTGGACTTCAAACTGGGCATGTGTGCTGACGACCTCCTCATTTACAAACACAGGCTGAGTCTCTATCATTTGGCTTGGCCAAAAATCTTGAAAATTTCCTACATGCTCAGTAACTTCTATATTAGATTTAGGCCTGTTGAGATGGAACAGTTTGAGAGCACCGTTAGATTCAAACTGCCAAACTACTGGCCAGCGAGAAGGTTACGGAAAATATTCGGGGAGCATTACGCTTTCTACAGGGTTCAACAGCCACCAAAGGCCAAGTTCCTGATCTTGAGGTCCAAATTTCACCACAATGGCTGCATCCAAGCACAGACCCTCCAGGCAAGCACCCTCATAGATAGGCCAGCACCACACTTTGAGTGCACGTCTAGTAAACAGGTCTCCAGGATTCTTGATGGAGCTCTAATTGGCATTGTGGACCACGGTCTTATGAAGGATTGTCCTGTCTCTGCTGGGGAGATTTCAGCACATGGCCCTGAAGTTGTCAGCACTGCTATGGTACAAGATGGGGACAGCAGGAGAGAAGGGGGAAGTCCAACTAAAGCCCCGCATTTGCAATTCATTGAAAGAAAGCCACCAGTGGTAAAAACAGAGATGGTAACAATTTCTGATGCCTCACAAAGGACTGAAGTCTCCACCAAGGAAGTCCCCATTATCCAAACTGAGACCAAAACCATCAGACAGATAGCGAGGTTGGTGGCAATTCGGGCACATTACCAATCGCATAAACTGTCACACCTGAGTCCATGTCCACAACGACCACCACACGCATCACCAGGACTGGAAAAGGTGGTGTGTGTGAAACAAGAACTGACAAACACATCATGGTCACAGGAGATGCAGATATTGATCATGACCAGATAAAGAAGGTGCTGGCTCAAGTGATCAGAGAGACCAGAGAGCAGCACCCTGGCACAGTGATCAGAAGTATGGTGGTGTTCAGTGAAAAGGAAGAGAAAGAGGAAGACTAAAGTAAGGAAGTCATTTTTAAAACAACATTCAACTTTTTGAACCTGAAGAATTTTGACCATTCTGAGTCTTAATGCCATTCTGAGTCTATGACTGGTAACAATGACCAGAAGCCTGAAGAATTAAAATGCCAACACCAAACCTCACCTTAACAGTTCTGGTCTACATAGTTCTCACCCATTTTAGTATATTGTTTTGTTTTATAGCCACTTTTAAATATTCTCAGTTCTTTCTTTTTTTTAATTAAGGGGCTTTGTTTTTGTTTCCTGTTTATTTTGTGTAACCACCTGCTTTTTATGGCTCATTTTGATTAAAGGACAGTAAACAAGGCCAGTCACGCTGGTAGGTGCTGTTCACTTGAACAGGTGTTGTTATACGGAAAGGAAACTCTATGACTAATTTAGGTAGTGCCCTTCCTTCTGCCAGATTCTTTCCATGGAATTCTTACAGCAAACATTGACAGAGTTTTCCAATGGCAGTAAACATACTGTATGAGAAAATATTAATACAGATTAAAAGCATTTATTACATTTTGAAAATTTTCTAAGATGTTTGAGAATTTCACTGGGGATATTTTTCATATTGGACCCTTTCGACTTTCCAGTCCTGTGACTTTTTACTTATCAATTGTATTGAACATTTTTCCCTTGCTTTTGATCTTATGTATAGTTATAATGCCAAAATAGATTTATAGCAGCTTCAAGTTGTATTAAATGATATTTTGTTTTCTGTAATACTCTTATAAAATAAAGTTTGTTTATTCTTGAAAAATAAAATAAAATCAAAATAAAATGCATGCACCTGCCTTATTCAGCAGAAATTGTTCTAGCCTACCAGAAATAAGTGAATCCTAAAAAAATTAACCTATTTGGGCAGGACTCCCAAATATCTAAATTTTATTATATCACTAAGAATAGACCATAATATTTGATAATAAAATATGTCATAGAACCACACTTAGATGAGAGCGTTCCTCACTCCAATTCTACACTTTTCTCCCTACACAAAGACCCTCTCTACCATACAGTAACGAGTCCCTTCTAGATGATCTTATAAAGCTGTTTGCCAGAAACTAACTCCCTAACTTCTGAATCATTATAGAAAACTCTAATTATTAAAAACACCTAAGGGTCAGAACCTGTCTGGTGACTTTCAGATGCTCTGGTTCACGACTATGTTCACCGCCTATTAAACTATCATTCCGTGAAGAATCTCTCTCTACCTTACACATCCTAGGACAGAACTTCTAAGCTATCTGCAACTCTTGGCACCCTCTGCTGGACATCCCTGGGAGAAGAAGTTTGTTTTTCCTTCCTGTGTCAGTGGATCTGCCATAATGCTCTGGAGGCCAGGCAAACAGAGAATCACTGGATGAACTAAGGCTTAGTTTGGGGAACCCTCCATCCCACCCTTTTGGAAAGGTAGGAGGCAGAGATTACAAGGGAAAGATGCAGTACCTTACTATTAATTTTTAATATAAACTCCAAAAAGGCAGAGATTTTGTCTGTTTTTTTCACTGATATATTCTAAGTACCCAGAACAGAGCCTGGCACACAGCAAACGCTCAGTGGACATTTGCTGAATGAGCTGTATTCTACATTCTATATTACTATTACTAATATAGGAATTTTTGCCGATTAGAATTTACTGAAGATACCAGTTTCACCTATAGCAAAGACTTCTGCTAGAGTACCTTTCCCTGGGATATGAGAATTCCTCGTAGAGTGTCAAACCCAACTGAAGGCCCGAGCCCAGTTTCGTCGAGAGAGCCCTCCAGGTCAAACATGGGGATGCAGGGGCAGAAGAGCTCTGAGATGTGATGCAGCAGCAGCAGCCGGTTCCTCAGTGCCAGGATGGGGATCTCCTGCAGGTGATTGTACTCCATGGGGACCTGAGACATTGGAACCACAGGAAGTCATCACAGGGACCAAACGCACAGATAAGCCAGTTTGGAATCCACTTAGGGTTCTGAAAATAATCTTTTCAAATATAGAAAAGCATTACAATTTCTGAGTTTGGTATGCAAAACCTCACGTGTTACTTTTAGAATAATAATCTGGCCAGTCTGAGCCAAGTAATGTGAACCAAGGAAAATGCTTAAAAAATTATCCTATAGAAACATATTTACTAAGAAACATGTGAGCCATGTACTATTAGAACAGTTTTGTGTAGTTTATAAGATGAAGAATAGACAGTGAAATAATGACACACATAAACTGTTGGTTGGCATGAACATTAAGATTCTTAAAAGCATTGTTTTATAACATTATGAATTGGCATTATTTTCAGAGACAGCTCTGTAAATATGCAATCAAAGAATGAAGCATGTGTGGGGGCGTTTATACCCGATTTCACACAGGGGCAGTGACTGTCACACCTCGCCCACCTGGCCCACCCAGCACTGACCTGTGCAGGGAGCTTGCCAGCACTGGCAGGCTTGCTGGTCGACCAGGCGAGGGTGTGTGCTGAGCCGCAGGCCACACGGTTGACCTTCTTACCCTGAAGGGCAGCTACCAATCGAGGCCTCTGGATAGCATTTGTTGTTCCATCTCCTAGTTGTCCCTCATCATTGTCACCCCACGTGTAAACTTCACCTGAATAAAGCAAATTTAGAATAAGAGCTTCTATACCAGGACTAAGGAATGCACAAATGCCAATGTCTTCCCATCACAAACACTATCAATGTTCGCGGCCCTTTGACTGGGTATTGGCGGTCACCTCTTTGAAGGTCAACTTCACCTGTGACCTAGATGTGAATACACTCTAATCACACATCCAAAGGGGCAAGCATATTTCCTGAGTCTCTCCACAGCCCCTAGTCTTAAAAAGCCAATAGTATTAGTTCACAGGACTAGGCACATAACTGTAGCAGTTCTCAATCAGAACAAATATTAAAACAGATGGGAATATCCCAACAACCCAGATTGTTCCTGCATGATAAAGGGAGGAGGAAAAGTCGGTTTTTCGATAAACAAAAATTCATGTTTTTAAAGGAACATGTAGTTCTTCCAATTCATATCCTAAACCTAAGATCCACCATTCACAAGAATCATCACACTTTCCAGTGTGCCATGCTGAGCCCCATCCATGAAATACCACCACAGGCCGAGTACAGTGGCTCATGCCTGCAATTCCAGCACTTTAGGAGACCAAGGTGGGAGGACTGCTTGAGACCAGGTGTTTGAGACTAGCCTAGGCAACACAGTGAGACCCCATCTCTACAAAAAGTAAAAAAAATTATCTGCGTGTGGTGGCATGCACCTGTATTCCCAGCTACTTGGGAGGCTGAGGCAAGAGGATGGCTTGAGCCCAGGAGTTGGAGGTCACAGTGAGCTGTGATTATGCCACTGCACTCCAGAGCCTGGGCAACAAGAGTGAGACCCTGTCTCTAAAAAACAAAAAATACCACCATAAAAATTTTAAGGGTTAGGTTGCTGGTGACTAAAACAGAAGGAGGTTTATGTTCACTAGAGACCTTATTAGCCTTATCAAATCCAGAAGATTCCTCGGGGTGTCAGGTAGCCAGCAGGCACCACTCTGGCAAGATGATGCCTACATGATCAAGGGCAGGGTGTGGTCTCCTGCCCTGTCCTGATCTCAACAATTCAGTCCTAAAGCCACGGGGTGGGTGTCAGAGCCCGAGCAAGGTGAGGCAGGCGTCTCCACAAAGGCAAAGCTGGATGCAGTGACTCAGAGTCAGAGGGTGAGGATGCTTCCGCACACGCTGGCCCAGCAGGGGAGTCAGCCAGCACCTCCACGAGTGGAGCAGCCCTGAGTGAGGTGCAGACCCATGCAGGGGACAGGGCAAAGGCAGCAACAGGACACTGGGCACATACGAGAGCAGTGGCCAAATCACTATATTAGGGATAAAGGGATCCAGGTTTATCACCAATAGTGACAGGAGCTACAATGTGAAATGAACCCTGTAGTACTCAAGTGGACTAGGGGTACTGGTGTGAACTCATAATTTTCAACATATACATACAGACACAGAAATAAACATAAAATGTAAATTTGTATATTGTTTGCATACATATTCCCTGGCTCTGTCCACTGAGGAGGCCTGGGGAGCAGTGACACTCCAATAGCAATGAGCACACCTATCACCCAGATCTTGTCTTCTAAACGCCATTCTCCTCTGAAGACATCCTGGGTCCTCGGAGAAATGGCCAATTCTAAGCACAGGGCATAGAGGGGACAAGATGAGCCTCGGCCATCTTCTTGTGCCAGAGCAAGGAAGTACTCAAAGAATGACACGGACACATCAGAAGCAGATGAAGCCAGCCACAAGGGCACAGTTTCAGCATCAAAATAAATAGTAACATATTATATATAACCCATTGAATAAATCAGGAAACCATGATTCCCACACATATATAAACACATAGATGAATAAATAAAAAGTTGGATGAGAAAGAGATATTTAAATAGATTGAGATTTCCCTACTAAATATTTATTAATTAAAAAGAATGTTCGCAGTGGAAAAGCCTGGTAGGTACAACTTAACCAAATGACTGAAGTTAACACCATCAGCAACAGAACAAAGAGAAACTGCATGTCACCTGCAAGGATGAATTAAGAAGATCAAAGACGCACAACCTGAATCTACTAAGGAAACATCAAAAACCCTAAATTGAGGCCGGGCGCGGTGGCTCACGCCTATAATCCTAGCTCTCTGGGAGGCCGA